GACCTTACGCCTCTGACTTTAACATTACTGTTTCAGGCTTTACAGGGCGACTCAGCACAGCACACACTAAATTTTACCATGTTTTTCACCTGACTCAGTAATGCGTCATCTTTTTATTTTTAACAAAAAAATCTGACAAAGTGCAGCTTTAATGTGCATTTTAAAAAATATGAAACTTTAGGCCTGCCTTCCGTCCAGTGACAGCTGGGATAGGCTCCAGCACCCCACCGCGACCCAGTAGGATAAGCGGTTTAGATGATGTATGTATGTATGTATGAAACTTTAGGGCTGCATTTCAGGAAGGCATAGCATTAAGAAGATTCTTAAATGGTAGAGCGAGCATCACACTGAACACTCTCTTTACCAGTTAAGATGACCTTAACACTGAGTGCGTTTACATGCACTCAATAATCCGGTCATAATCAGATTTCTGCAGTTATCTGCTTATTCAAATGGTCATGTAAACAAGATACAACGATTCATTTACGTCCTGGAAAGACACGTTCTTTATGAAGTTTTGACTGAATTCTCTTTAAAAACTCTTTCACAAATTGCATGCAACTACACATTTCCACCAGAGAGGTCTCCAAATCCCCAAATCTTACACAGTGTAGCTTTCAATAGTTACTCAACAGTTATATTGACCGTCAGCAGGGGTGCACAACTCCAGTCCTGGAGGGCCGGTGCCCAGCACAGGTTAAAAGTTTTCCTACTCAACAACACACACACTAAACCTGGCAATTAACAGATGAGTTGAATCAGGTATGTTTGAGCAGGAAAATCACCAGCTTTTCAAACTGCCCCAAACTCACTGTCATCAGAAAGCTCAACATGCTTGGAGCAGAACATTAACTGCCAATTCTGTTATGTCAGCTGACAGACAGCTAATGATGAGTGATGTGGGGGCTTCTTCCCCATCCTGAGAGACTGAGGGCAATTATGAATGGCTGTGGCATAACAGGGGACTGAACTCACAACCTCCTGATGAGAAGGGGAGATGGTTCTGCCCCTTATTTCCTTTACTGAATATTATTACATTTATTCTAATATTCCAAAATTGCAGGAGGAAACTGTGGGCATGTTCGGATCCATTTTTGCAACCTTACCTCTTACATTTATACACAGACATACACAAACCGTGCCCAACGATGAGGCAAATACAGAAATGCTCACATTTAAACAAAAACACAGGCCAACCAGTGATGCTATAGAAAACCACTTCCACACAGCTGCAATGAATAGAGAAGCGCCTGCAGTGTAAAACTCTCCTTGTACAGCTCATTTGAGCCCACTCTTCCGAAGATAACTCTGGAGGAGTTCATTTAACTGTGGTAATTTTACAGTATTCATTCCCAGCTGAATGGTGTAATGAAATCACTGGCGTTTGCTGTTGCTGGAAATGCCTTGTCATAGAAAGTGAATTACTGCCTGAGAGCAGTGTTTTAACAGGGGTAGTTTTTCATCTCTTCTCCAGTAATCTAGAGGAATGTTCATTGCCACAGGGAGTGTACACTGAAACTGAATCACAGTTAGCACAACAACATTACACAGCTTTTTTTCATCAGGGCTTAAAGTCAAACAAAGCTAACAGCAAAGCAACACTGACAGTTTGGAGGCTCCTTGCTTAGCTGGTACAGTTTGCTGCACAAGAACTCTATATGTTTGGTATCAAGTTATCATGTTGTTCCCTCAAAACCCTTTCGCTGGACGGATAGAGAAAGCAAGAGCTTTTTCAATTTGTTGTTGGTTTTCAGCTGAGTGTGCCCTGAATTTATCTCTTAATAACTCTCAATCATATCACAATAATGTAATCAGACTGAACCAGGGCGAAATTTCATGCTGCACTAGACTGCATCCTAAAGAATCATAACTGAATCAAAGTGTTATAAAAATAACTCTTGCTCACAGATGAGCCTCATTATGACCCCTCACAGAAGAAGTGAATAATGTTGATTATCTTATATAGATGTATTATCACTACTGTAAAAAGTCTAGGCGTCATCTTTGTTCCCAGTCTCTCTTTTGATACACATGTTTGCAACATTGTTAGAACCGCATTCTTTCACCTGCGTAACATCGCTAAACTACGTGATATCCCAGCCCTAAACGATGCGGAAAAACTTGTGCATGCATTTAGAACCTCCAGGCTGGACTACTGTAACACAATTTTAGCTGGATGCTCCAACACTTTACTAAATAAGCTCCAACTGGTCCAGAATGCAGCTGCTAGAGTCCTTACAAGGACCAAAAGTTTGACCATATATCCCCAATCCTGTCGTCATTACACTGGCTACCTGTTAAATTTCTTGTGGAGTATAAGATCCTTCTCTTAACGTATAAATCATTAAATGGCCCCGCAGTACCTTAGTGAATTAATTCAGTCATATGAACCCACACGTACGCTCTGCTCACAAAATAACGGCCTGCTGACAGTTCCTAGAATTAGACAAACCACAGCTGGTGGTCGAGCATTTTCCTACGTAGCCCCGAAATTGTGGAATCATCTCCCGACCTCTGTCCGGGACTCAGACACACTCTCTACATTTAAAACTGGACTCAAAACTTCTCTGTTTGCACAAGCAATATAAGTTGCTGCACTATTAACTCACTAATATCTCTCCATAAACGGACCTGTCCTGTTAAACAATTTCTCTCTCTCTCTCTCTCTCTCTCTCTCTCACTCTCCCTCCCTTTATCTGAGCCCCTGAGCGACGTTTGCCTGAGTCGCCATGTGAGCAAAAGATCAGATCTGCTAGATCTCTGCCACCAGAGCTCCATCTCTGTTGGCTGATCTGCACCTCACCTGCATAAACTGACCCTCCTGCTGCTGCTGCATAAACTCAAACTATCTAATTAATCATTGCTCCACCTGTTTTTAATGTTTTGTATTCTAATATTTTATATTAATGCTGTTTGCTATCCAGAGGAGGATGGGTTCCCCTTTTGAGTCTTGGTTCCTCTCAAGGTTTCTTCCTCTTGCTCTTAGGGAGTTTTTCCTTGCCACTGTCACCACTGGTGACGCTCATGGGGGCTTGGACCCAGATTTTTCTGTAAAGCTGCTTTGTGACAACACCCGTTGTACAAAGCGCTAAATAAATAAACTTTGACTTGACTTGACTTGATTTATTAGACTGTCACGCCTCCCGCCAGCTCAGCAGAGACTAACACCCCCCATCCGTCCAGAACTCCAACTCCCAGAATCCTCTTTACGATTCTAGCCTGACCCCTTTTTGACTCTGTTTCCCAGATGTTCTGCTGGGAAACCCTGGGTCTGGGCATTTACATGGACGTCTGACAGGTACCACCTGCCTAATCATCATTGTGAACCAAGTACACCCCTTCATGGCAATGTATTCTCCAACGGCAGTGGGTTCTTTCAGCCGGATAATGCGTCCTGCCTCGCTGAACACACTGTTTAGGAATGGTCTGAGGAACACAACGAAGAGCTCAAGGGCTTCAAATTCCCCAGATCTCAATCCAAGCCAGCATCTGTGGGATGTGCTGGAACAACTAGTCCAATTTCCACCTCAGCTCCACCTCGCAATTCACAGGACTTAGGATCTACTGCTTATGTCTTGGTGGGAGATAATACAGGGCACCTTTAGAGCTTTTGTAGTCCAAATCTCGGGAGGTCAGAGCTGTTTCGGCATTACGCAGAGGACCAACAGCATATTAGGCAGGTGGTCATAAAGTCATAATGTTTGGCTCGTTGGTGTGTGTGTGTGTGTGTGTGTGTGTGTGTGTGTGTGTGTGTGTGTGCACATTCTCTCTTCATACTGCTTTTCCAAGACTTTCCAAAAGGTCTCTTGAGCTCAATAATTACAGCCTCTCGCTCTTTCACTCTTTCATAAGAACCTCTTCACATTTAGAGAGTGAGAGCGAGAGATAGAGAGAGAGTGAGAGAGAGAGGAGGGATAGGATATGACATACTCAAGATAAAACTGGCATGCTGACATTTAAGAAATAACTCGTTTATGAGACAGATGGACAGAGAGAGAGAGAGAGAGAGAGAGAGAGACAGCAAGAGAGAGAGCGGTCGCATGTCAAAAATATCGACTTCTGAACAACAGTGAGAGACGGAGAGAGAGACTAGGGTTGTGGCCTTGAAATGTCAGGAGAAAGCGAGAGCTGAAAGAAGAGACGGACGAAGGAGAGAAAGCGCAACAGAAGAGGAAGAAGCATGTGCATGACAGAAAGAGGGTGACGGAGAGAGAGAGGGGGACTACAAGAGTGAGAAAACAGCATGAGAAAGAGAGAGGAATCAAGAGAAGCAGAAAATGATAAATATTAAATAACAATACATAAATAATAATAAATAATAATTAGAATAAATAAATAAATAATAAATAATATTTCTCTATCTACAGTATTAAATATCTACCCTTCATTTATGTAATTTCCAGTCAAAACATTAAGGACCAGTTGCTCATTTTTCAAGGGATATTGCTTCAGAGTTGCTTCAGTTCAGTAAAAATCTGTCCATCCTTCCACTGTGAGAAGACAACTAAACACTATGAGTCTGAAAGGATGTGAAGCTGGACACAGACAAAAAAAGAAGAAATCAAACAAAGAAGCTGCTGGTGTGTCTCAGAACAATGGACTGACCACGCCAGAGTCCAGACCTCAACATCACTGAATGTGTTTGGGATTATTTCGATCATGAGAAGCAGAAAATGTTAAACCAACTTCTAAGACTGAACTTTGGAGGTGTGAAAAACATCCCTGCAGATTTCTCTGAAACACTGAAAGTGAGTCTCCTGAAAAGAATGGAAGCTGGAATGGAATAAAGGTAAAGAGTGGACACAGGAGATACTAAAAAAATGATATTATATGGAGTTGAAGCTTCTGTGTAATTCTTGTTGCATATATATTTTCTCTCGTTTTTGCTGAAAAATGAAAATCTTGACTGGAAATTAAATAAATGAAGGGTGGTTTCTGACTTTTGCTCATTATTGTGTAAACAGAGAGAGAGAGAGAACAGATTTAAAAGGGATGCCAACCTTGCTGAAGCGTGGAGAGCAGGAGGAGAACTGTCTGATCTCCACAGGCTCGTCATCGTTCGTGTCGTCCTCATCGTACGAGTTTATGTGCCGATAACGCTCGGAACGTGCTGAGAGTGGGAGGGAGAGAGGTGGCAGTGTTGAGACAGGGATATAACACTCATGCACAACCTTTGTCTGCTGTTTTTTTAAAGTTTAAATAAATATTTAAATACCCCAAAACAGTTCAGATAACAAGCTTGTTCAACCAAAGAAAGGAGAAGCATCAAACACTTTAGTTTTCACACTGAATGCATATAAGAGCACATTGTCTTAGTAACATCAAAACCATGTAGTGTTTTTTAGTTCCATGGTGTGCCTGTGTGGACCAGGGGTGCACAACTCCGGTCCTGGAGGGACGGTGTCCAGCACACTTTGGATGTTTCCCTACTCAAACACACCCACTTAACCTGGCAGTTAACAGATAAGTATAAGTAGGTGTGTTGGAGCAGGTAAATCACCAAACTGTGCTGGACACTGGACACGTTCCAGGACTGGTGTAGATTTAGCGATTAGATGCCGTTTCCCTCCTAACAGCTGGGAGGCGCTGCGTGAACAGGACGAGACTCACTGTCAAAGTAGCTGGTGTCCTCCTCTGACTCCAGGTGAGGAATAAACTCCGCCTTCTGCCTCAGTAAACTGTTCCAGTCCAGATCAGCGAAAAACGAGTGCTGCTTCACTTCATAGGCGCCGCCTGTTTATGAAGAAGAACAAACAACAAACCGAAAAAATAATAATTACACAGAGTCCAGTATGTACAGGTAATCGTTCATCCATCCATCCATCCGTCCTTCCATTTATCATCACATACAGCCACCCAGCCATCCATCACATCAGTTCTTCCATACTTTCATTTGTCATTCCATCCACCCATCATCCATCCATCCATCCAGTCTTACATCCTTTCAAATATCAACTTCTATCCTTTCATTGTCATTCGTACCATTTACCATTACATCCATAGATCCATCCATATGGTCTTCCCTCCTTTCAGTTGTTTATAATCCACACATCTGTCTGTCTATCTGTTTATCCATCTATTCTTCTATTCTTTCATTTGTCATTCCGTCTATTAATTTATCATATCCATCCATCAATCAGTCCTGTATACTTTCATTTGTCACTACATTTGTTCACCCATTTATCATCACATTTATCCATCCATCCATCCATAAATCCATCCATCCACCTATCTATCCATCCATTCTTCCATACTTTCATTTGTCCTACTTACTACCACACCCATCCATCCATCCATCCATCCATCCACCCAATCCTCTGTAACTTCATTTGTCATTCCATTTATCATCACATCAATCCATTCTTCTATACTTTCATTTGTCATTATATTTATCATCACTTCCATTCGTCCATCCATCTATTAATTCCTCCATACTTTCATTTGTTATTTCATTTGTGCTTCTACTTATTACCACATCCATCCATCCATCCATCCATCCATCCACTGCACAAACGTACCTGTCCCTAATCTCACCAGTGGGTTGGTCTGCAACAAGGTGGAAATGAGGTTCTGGGCGTCGCTAGGCAACGCTTCATCACCCTCTGGCCAGGCAATATCATCTACACACACACACACACACACACACACATACACACATACACACACACACACACCTGAGTGAGAAAGTTAGCACATACCCTGACTGGCGCAATCCCACACAGTCGCACCTCCACACTCATCAGTCGTTTAAAGATGGAGGAAAACTCTTGCTTTAGAGGAAATGATCCACACTGTTATTTTCTGTGAGATTCCTGAGTTGTTGTCACTGTTAGCAAAACTGCAGCTAAAGTTAGCACTGTTGTTGCTAGGTAGCATCAGTCTATTGCTAACGCTCATTAGCATTCAGGTCAAACCTCAGACATGTCTGGACAGAGGCTGTGATTCTGCTTAAACTGTGTGGAACAAAAGAGGATTTAAAGATGCCTCCACAAAACCAATGAGCTGCACTAATTCTGCAGCGTTAAAGTCAGCAAGACAACATTTTCTACATACAGTACGCATCACTTAGTTAACATCATATTTTACATATATAAGGTGATCTAAAACACATGTTAGTGTTCAGCCTCATCCGTCTGATTCCACACTCACCTGAGATCACCTGGCCAAACAGATCCTCAGGTGTGTCCCCAAAGAAAGGCACACAGCCCACGAGAAACTCGTAGAGGATGATGCCCATGGCCCACCAGTCCACAGGCTTACCGTAACCCTGCCGCAGGATCACCTCCGGGGCGATGTACTCAGGGGTGCCACATACCTGAGAGAGAGAACATCTGTTTTTATCTTCATGTATGCAGGTTATTTCTACATTGTCTGCTCAAAGATCCTATATCTCATTCTGTAAAGCGCCTGTAGGGGTCCAGTATATAGTATTTTTTCAGAGACTGCCATCCTTAATTTAAATCAAGTTACCAAAGTATTGAAATCTTATCACTTATTAAAACATATCACATCTTTAAAGGGCACATAATTTTTTATATATATTATTTGAGGGTTTCAGTTGCAACACAGGCTGTTTTTGCAGCTTTTTTCCATATACGGACTGTATGGAATCAGGTGTCAAAGGTACATTTTGATATTTTAACCATGTTTACATACCACAATAAACACCTATTTAAAAAAAGGCAAGGAAATTCAGCTTTTCGGAATATATACTCTATATGTTACATACTACATTTTACTTCTAGTTGTACTTTTTTACTCACTTGCTCTAAATATCATGTTTAGATGGTTTTATGCACCATAATCAAGTCATAATTCATGGTAACACGACCATATTCCAACCTCTTTTAATCCTTTAATCTTTCTGTTACTGTGCCTTTAAGACTGATATATGTAAATGATCTCTCTTCTGACTGGCTGTTTAAAAAAGCAGTCTGAGCTGAATAACTCCTTATAAATTCAGGGTGAGTGGGCAGAGCCAAACTGCTGTAGGCTGACTGGGTGTATATATCTAAAAAGTTTATTTTTTGTTTCCATATATAAACTGATGATACATCTTCATATACTAAATACTTTATATACTATACAAATTACTTTTTAAAAAAGCAACGAAAATTCAGTTTTCATTATCTGAGCCCTATAATACTGACTGCATTATAAAAAGATGGGGTGATACCTGACTCACACATAACATGTCAAGGTGTAAAAAGGCTCTGTGTAGCAGATTGTGAAGCTAATGCTTGCAGAAAGTGAAGAATGGTGTATTGTGAATCAAATCCAACTGCAAAATAGGCTATAAAATACCTTAAGCTTATGATGCAATACTGTACTTTTTACCTAAGCACCATAACACCTGTTAAAGAGCTGCTTCGTACCTGTTTGTCCAGGAACTCACGAGCGTCCTTCTCAATGTGGCCCTCGTACAGGTTTGTGGTGAGACTCATCAAACCCATCTTAGAGAGGCCGAAATCAGTCAGCTTAATGTGGCCCATTGACGTGATCAGCAGGCTGAGAACATAAATAAAACAAAGCTCTGTAGTGCATCAGCTGAGACGTGTCCGAATTTCACTTCTTTAGTTTTGTGCTGGAGCTACTAGGCTAACGTAGCTAACATGTAATGGAGGTCGCCTAAATCATCACACGCTTTTCGCAAATTGTGACAAGTTGTTAAGTAATCTACAATAGACTTGCTTATGTGGTTTTTGACACTGTGTGACACTCTGCTATAAAAATGTATTAGACATTCAGCTTCCACAATGCTAATTAAAGGGATACTAGCTTTCACTACTTGTTAAGATACATTCGCTCCAGTGCAAAACTAAAGATGTAACATCTAATATGTCTTGGCTGATTGGCTGCATTTGGGGTAAAGAGAAAAACTAAATTTAAAGCCCTTTAATTAACTGCACTAGACCTCCTTCCCAGTAGAGGGAGCTCTGTCGTCACTCACTTGTCTGGTTTGAGGTCCCGGTGTACGATTCCATAGTTATGGAGATACTCCAGAGCCAGTACAGTCTCGGCGAAGTACATACGAGCCATTTCCACAGGCAACGCCCCGATGTTCTTCAGCAGGGTGGCACAATCTCCCCCTAGTGGACAAAGCAAGATTTGGGCAATACTGATGCCTTTACCTGAAAACAGCAATAAAGACGCCACTTCTCTGTTCTCTTTTTAAAATGAACGTATTATGTTTTTTTAATTTAATTTTATTTTATTTTTGCTTTAAAGTGAAAGAGAATTAGAATCTTATTTATGCTAAATCTATCAGCCTCAACGATTTTGCATCATTGTCATGTTTTCATCCATCAGTGTTTTCTTACTACAACACCCAGCATGCTTTACACATCATACAACCTTTGGAAATCTCTACCAATTTCTAACAAATTTCTTTCAAATCGTGACTGCTAGCCTAGGCACTGATCCGTAAGGCAGGGGTCCCCAGCCTTTTCCACTTCAAGGCCCACCTATTTATCACTGGAAAGCATGAAGGCCCACGGGAAAACAAATCTCACAACAATGTTTGGGTGTGTGAGCTTGGAGTGTCCCTTTAAGTAGGGGGGCTGTTGGCTGATGCTAGTGCTGTGTTGGTCTGAACGTTGACCAGCAGCAGTGAGATCAGCTGTGATAATCTGTCTGACACGTGCAGCACAGCCACTTTTACATAAGCACCAATGTGTGACTGTACACACACTGAGGAGTCGTCATAACAGCCTACTGACACACACACACACACTCAGAGAGAGAGAGAGAGAGACAGAAAGAGACTGGAGAGAGAGAGAGAGAAAGCCAGGCAGAGAGACAGACAGAAGGACAGATGGACAGAGAGAGAGTTTATATATGGGGCATTGCTAGACTGAGTTTGTCTCCTTCAGGCTCGACTCTGAGAGCGGCAGCGTCAGCATTTCTGCACAGAACTGAAACTGAATACACCCAGCGTGACATCATTACCGAATCTGCTTCACCTCCAACAGAGCAGCTACCAGAAACATCTGCGTGTGTCTAATACACATATTTTCACTGTCAGAATAAAATCTAGCATTTCCATTTTCATCATTGTTTCATTTTTTTGAAAACGCCAGCTGCTGTTTACGCTGTGTTGTCATTTCAACAAAGAATGGTCCAATAGAAACGATCCAAAATGACTTGGAATAAAATCTTGTTGCATAAACTTCACATTAAAAGTTAAGAATGTCTGAGTTGTACAATGTATTGATGTCGGTGAATTTGCTCAATCTGAACTGATTGCATGGTGAGAAGACCTAAAAGTGGATATGTCAGTAGAGGAGTGGGAGGAGGGATGTATTAAGGCCCAGAAACACACAGTGAATACTCAGAATGAAATTGCTTCAGCGTAATTGGCTAATGTGAACTTATATTAGCCCAGACAAGCTGAATAAATTCAGTAATACTATTTCAGATACCTCTGTACAAAATGTGGAAAGGCCAGGGGACACTGTGGCATCAATGGGATCAGAGAAGATTAGAGAGTTCTTGTAATGAATTAAATATGATTGAAAACATGTTATATAAATCTTAACTGCAAGTCTACCATTGGAAAAAGATCACATATGTTATTAAGGGAAAGTATACAGTCAAAAGTATTTTTTTATTGACAATACTGACCTAACTATATATATATGTGTGTGTGTGTGTGTGTGTGTGTGTGTGTGTGTGTGTGTGTGTGTGTGAGTGTGTGTGTGTATATGTGTGTGTATATGGGACTTTGGGTCCTGATATAATATAAAAATACATCTCTGCGCACGTGTATGATTCTTACCCTCCACATACTCCATGACCATGCAGAGGTGTCTGCGTGTCTCGAATGAGCAGAACATGCTGACCACGAATGGATTCTCAGCGAAGGTCAGGATATCTCTCTCCACAAACGCCTGCTGGACCTGATTCCTCAGAATCAGGTTCTGCTTGTTGATCTTCTTCATTGCAAAACGCTGCCGCGTCTCTCTGTGCCGGACCAGATACACCGCCCTGCAGACAGACAGACAGAAAGAGAGCGACAAAGAGAGAGAGAGAGAGAGGGAGAGAGAGAGTCAAATGGAGGACTTTACCCTCCTCATCCTCCCATGTGTATACATGTTGAATTATCTCTGACTCGTAGCTCATTGAAGCAAGCAGAGAAATTCTGTTCATACTACATTTGTGTTTGTAGGTGGAAGAGGACGTATTTCATCAGGATCCGAATTTGTCACAAATCAGCCACAAACTCTCCCAGCAGCCGTGACTGTTTCGTTGTTAAACTGGAGTTTGGAGTTTGGAGACCAAACTTACCAAATGTCTTTATGGAGTGTCCACATACTTTTGGCCATACAGTGTTTGTTTACTGTGACTGTATGGCTGAACGTCAGCTTATCCGACTGGGCAAGTGAATTGAAATTTAGTGCTGTTTTTCTGACCTTTATTCGCCTCGATTCAACACTGGGCAGTAGTTAAAGTTGACCCTTGCGATTTATATTCTGTACTAACAGGTTTGAGTCTGAAATACTGCAGCTAAAAGGAAAGGAATATTGAAATGTTTCAGTCAGCATCAGCAGAAGCAGCAGTAATGTGTGTGTATAGTGTGTTTACCCATATGCTCCATTGCTAATGAGTTTGATTGTCTGAAAGTCTGATTCACAGGGTGGTTTCATGGCCTTCATTTTACCCTGAAAAACACAACAGCAGCAGAAAAAGCATAGAGCAAATTTTAGCATCACATCGCTCACTACAAGCTCTCCTCCACCAGCCCGTTAGATCACTTTCCTCTGTAATGATCCGGACAGACTGTTGAATTCGCAGGCAGTTGGACAGTCATTAATTAAAAAGGAAAAAAAGATGTGTCTGGGCTAAAAGATCTGAAGAGCTCTTATATAACACACTTTCAGGACAGCAGTGAGCACAGAGTTCTAGCAACACACACTGATGAACATGATATAAAGCCAGTAACTTGGAATCTAGATCAAATTAAATCTATTTCACACCCACCCACACCCACCCCCCCCCCACACACACACACACACACACCCACACATAGTATTCCATATGTTTTACATGTACAGAAGCATCTATATGTATCAATAATAATCTTTCTCTATCTACAGTGCTATATCTACCCTTCATTCACGCAATTTCCAGTCAAAACATGAAGTACCAGTTGTTCATTTTTCAAGTGATATTTCTGAGAAGATTAGATATAAAATAATCCACTTGCATAAGGTAGGAGAATGTCAGAGGAGGATAAGTGAAAAAACAGGAGTTTCCAAAACTGGAGTTGCTGAACAATGGACTGACCACCCCAGAGTCCAGACCTCAACATCACTGAATGTGTTTGGGATTATTTGGATGGTGAGAAGCAGAAAATGTTAAACTAACTTCTAAGACTGAACTTTGGAGGTGTGAAAAACATCCCTGCAGATTTCTCTGAAACACTGAAAGTGAGTCTCCTGGAAAGAATGGAAGCTGTAATAAAGGTAATAAAGAGTGGACACAATAAATACTTAAAAAAATTAGTTGTTGAGGCTCTTTAAATTTTCTGTTAAATATGTTTTTCTGATACTGAAAAAAGAGAAAAGCATACTTAATGGATGGGTGATACTTGACATACATACATATATATATATATATATATATATATATATATATATATGTGATACAGTTTGTATATATATATACAGTAAAATTAAAATTGTATATATATTCAGTAAAGTTAAAATTATGGTGATACGATTTTGTGAGACATTTTATTATTAGTAGTAGTATATATATATATGTATATATATATATACTAATAACAATAATAATAATAAAATGTCTCATATGTACTATATTGTCACAGTTGGGACAAAACCGTATCACTGTAATTTTAGCTATACTGTAGAAGGAAAACACTGTCTTAACTCTGAATGGGAGAACAAGACTGAACAAGACTTTTTCCAGGAGATTTGAAACCATTACTGTGAGTTCATTCATCATGAAATTTAAAGTCCCATATAAAAGTTTCCCATTCAGGATATGTTTATCTACAAACACACACACTTTTCTCACCTCAGCTGAGTCATCTGTCTCAGGTGTGTGTGGTCCCTCGCTGTCATAGCTGTCCAGATTCACCATTTCTATACGACAGGAAAAGAAATCACAGTCAGACACTGTTTACTCGACACAAACTGCCTCTGAATAAGTCTTGACTAACTCCGTTTGACAGCTTTTTAAGTGCATGTGGACATAAAACTACAGCACGTCAGTGAAATGAGTGCAATACGTGAAGCAAAAGCCGAACAAAGTGAACTTCACTGATATCTTTAACGTTCACGGTTTGATTTAACACACCACACAACTGCCTCAGTCACCAGGCAACACCCTTAGAGAAAGAGAGAGAGTGAGAGAGAGAGGTAGTGTTGTGAAGACTGGGCTAAATAAAGGCTGTGAATAGCACAACAAGAAACAACAGCAAACGAAATGATTAGAAAAAAAACACTGGAACTACTTCCAGGGCTTCAAACGAGTCAGTTTCTCAGTTAAGCTTAGTTCATGACTGCCTTTACTCATTTGAATGGCTCTAACTTTAGTTATGAATTACTGCCACTAAAGCCCTAGAAGCCTATCGCTACATACGTTGTCTATACTGTATTTATAGGTTTCTTAATTAATTATATAAGTAATTACATACTTTTTTTACACACACTTTGTTGATTTTCTAACTAAAAGTAAGTAAACAAAACACACCTTTGCACACTTTAATACACTATTACTGTTTACTGTTGAATTTTACATAACAAAACATCAAATATGGCCTGCGCAAAAGTTATGGCACATTTTATATTTTGTGTTTAATTATTTTCCCCAAATATGTTATATTCAGTAGGTAAACAGCAATTGTGCATTAAAATGAGCAGAAGTGAGTTCTCTGTGGAGAATGTGTTAAACTTTTGCATAGAATTGTACATAAAGTATTGACAGCTATTTCAGTGTCATCAACTGAAAAACATGGAAAAATGAAAAGGATTTTTTTTTTCCTCAAAACACGGAAACAGGGAGTGTATTCAAAACTATTTTATGTAATAACTTTCTAAGAGGGAGCTTTTAGAGGCATTAAACACCTCAGACATCCGGGACCGCAATACAGAAACTTCCTATCTTTTTCTCTTAAGATCTGACAGGTCAAGATAAGATTTTCACAAATTCTTCTTACAGAAGCAAATCTGATCTTAATTTGGGAATCTTGTATTACAGCATCTTATCACAAGAAAATCTTAACCTGCTCGATCGAGGTCGACAATCAACTGTCACGTCAGTTACCTAGCAACCGACCATATGCGCACAGCTGAAACGTAAACACATCATCAGGATAATTAAGTTAGCTAGCCAGACAGCTAACATTGGCTACCGTTACTGATGTAAAAAAGGTCAGACAGAACTAAAGAGCAATAAACTGGAAGTTAAGAATATTGTTTCAGTGCTTCCTGCTGTTCATCAGAGCATCGCCGCTCTGCAGTTTCAGTTTCAGTTTCCCAAATGCTTTAGCTGAGCGCGCTGATGTTATTCCTCCTAATAAACAGACACACGTTCAGCACTGTCTCCACATTATTCACCACCACCACTGTAATATTATATCTATATAACAAGTTTTCATCAACATTAACACCCAAAGGTAATAAGAGGGGACGGTGGAGATCGTGCCTGCAGTGTCTGGGATTTTTAAAATGCTGTAAGCAAGCTCATAAGTTAAAGCACCGCTTACAGTGTAAATAAATCTAACATCATTATACCAGTTACAGTGAACTATGCTGCCTTTCACTGCATAAACACTGCTTAAAACAGAAGGTAAGACCCTCTGGGGTTGGTCTCAAAGTTAAGACAGAATTTAGGAAATTTAGTCTAGTTAGGATGTTTCTGTAATATTGTTTTCATATCTGGAGTTAATGAGAAATTATGAACTTGAGAGCTGCTGTTCTGTAATAGCTTCTGTCCTAAACTCAGCCCTAACTGAAGTTGTCATGGTGAGTAAGCAGGTAAGATTTGAGACTTCAATTTCCGTTATATGGCTCCTGGTTTCTAGCAGCGCCACTATGAGCAATTCTGACTTGGTAAGTTTCTCTGGATCAGAGCATTTCACATCAAACCACTCTGAATGACTTAATTTACATCTTAATCATTTTGCAGATATTTTGAAAAATCAGTGGATTCTCTTTAAATCTCTCTGATTTTGGCAGGAATGGAAAAACACTGCTACTTCTAAAAGCTTCTGTATTCATTTATCAGTGCTTGCCAGTGTCTGCATGAATTACATGTCAACGTCTCTCATCTTTCTCCCTCTCTCTCTGTCTGTCTCTTGCTTGGTGTCCTCCTCTCTGTTATTTCTGTCTATTAGTCTGCACCCCCCCCCAACCCCCACGTTTACGTGTGTTCTCACCCTCTAGGGGGTCTCTGGTCAGGCCCAGCTGGCTGATAATATAGCGTGGAATGTCCGTCTTCATTAAGTGTCCCTCCTTGGCGTGGTCCTCCGCCGCCTCCAGCAGGTGATAAAACTCCTCTGGGTTAAACTCCTGAACAAAGAGGAACACCAAGACACAAAGACTGATGCTAGTGTTGTGGTACTCCAGTCCAGCCTCAGTCTCAACACCATAAATTTGTGGTCTTATCTCAGTCTCAGGGTGAGGTGGACTTGGAAATTGACCAAAAGACCATATTTTTGTATTAATTATTTTTTTATATTACTTTTTATATTATTATATGTTAATTATAATAAACACATAAAATATTTCCTATTATCAGTTGAACTAGGATACTGTTGGATGTCTCTCTGTGTGATATGTGAGTCTGTGTTGAGCTGCAAGTGAGCAATGAGGGGAGAAGGGGGGGTTGAGAACCCCCTGCTGTGAAAACAGTTCACACCTCTCTGCAAAGACAGCCGTGCCAAGAAAAAATGGACAGCACGCCTGCAGCTTTCCCGATATAAAAAACGTACAGCTTCCACAATAGAAAATAAAACCTTTTATAAATGCTCACTTGCTTAAGCACCTTTGAAGAAGAACATCCATCCAAAATATATGTAAAATAAATATAAATCCAAATATATGTCGAATTTGATTTTCTTGTAAATTTTTACTGCAAATTTCAGATGTTGAATATACTGTCTGGTAAAGAAAAACAGGTTATTCAAAAATTCAGGTCAAAAGCATCAATGCCAAGTCCCTCCCGCTGACCCACTGAGCTGCCCAGTGATTGGACAGGGTGGACTTTGATTAGCTCCTTCTAAGTACCCCATAAGTTTGCTCCTTCTAAGTACCCCATAAGTTTTCCCTAAATTTCTACTACCTGGATGTCCACAACCTGAATTTTTACTACCTGAATTTTCAAGGTCTACATATTTACTACAACAATAATGTAATCAATAATTGATAACACAATAAAAACATCAAATTAAGCGTTTTTTTTGTTTTTCAAGCATCTTATTTTCACTCAGACTTTTGTGGACGTTTAATATAACAAGCAATCTGCAATTATACAAAGATTTTTAATATTTCTCTGTGTAATTCTGCCATTTTAAACAGTAGAGGGTGTTAAAGTGAAGACTTCTCAGCGTATGTTCTTTGTGTGAACATGATGTTGTGATCACAGTCCGTTCCTGTTGCAGTGGGGGAATCACCAGGCAGCTGGGAGAGTGACAAGCCCACATCCCCTCAGAGACACAGATTAATAAACTCAGGATGGAGAATGAGCCAGCTCGGTGAAAAGACCACTGTTCTGTTTGAGAGATTCCCCAGCAGACCTCTCTTCAGGAGAAGGGTCAGGTTAACGGAAAGAATGGAGGCTTCACGCAGCACTCAAGTAGGTAATATTCTTGGCCTCTCTCTCTCTCTGGCTCCGTGACATTCTCGATCGCCCACCCGGAGGAAAACACAGAATACTGAATATATGTCACAGGTATCGGGACCTTTCGTATTTGATCACAGTCTCCATGTCCTCTCCTGTAGCTGTAGTAACCTATAGCAGAAACGTCTCTCATCCACTATATTCAACACCTGACCCTTTTTGACCTCATCAACTGGGTTGCCACAGCAACCACAGGATGTAAGCACGGTATGAGCGCCGAGTCTGGAGACGGGCAGCTGAGGCCACCAGTCAGAGCGCAGGATTGTGGTTCAGTCGTTTTTTATATGCTCTCAAAACAGATATGTTAAAAACTCTACACTGTGTCATTAACTAAATGTTTTTAAAGAGAGAACAGTATGATTCCAAAAATGTTGTGGGAAGATTTAATTTAATTAATTAAATGGGTTTAAGATTTAATTTTAATTAATTAAATGGTTGAGATGTGAACAAAGCTGTTCTATGTGGTTTGGTGTGAAATGCTCTGTTCTAGAGAAACCTGCCGAGTCAGAATTGTTCACAGTGGTGGTGATAGGAACCAGACGTCTGAAGAGTTTAATGCTTAAAGCTCCTGCACAGAAAGTTATTACACAAAATATTCATGAAAAATGTTCCACAATTTTACCATCATCAACACACAAAAACTTGTGTAGGTTCACTAGTGGATTTGGATAGTGAATCAAACGGCTATATTTCTGTTGTAAATATTGTGACCACTGCTTCCTATCACCACCACTGTAAAGAAACCAGAATCTGGAAGTTTCTCTACAACAGGGGTGCACAGCTCCGGTCCTGGAGGGCTGGTGTCCAGCTCAGTTTGCTAGTTCCCCTTTCTCAAACACACCCAATAAATCTGGCTATTAACAGATGAGTGTATTCAGGTGTGCTTGAGCAGGTAAGTCATCAAACTGTGCAGGACACTGGCCCTCTAAGACTGGTGTTGTGCACCACTGCTCTACCATAAACCATTTCATATCAAACCACTCTCAGTGGCTTAGTTCACATCTCAGTGACTGAATTACGCAACAATATTGATTATAATTTTTGAATGGACAGAAAGTGGGAAGTACAGTCATCTGAATACTCTTGGATAACTTTTGTGTTTCTTCTCCTTCTTTTATTTTCCCCTCTGCATCCTTAAGAGTAAAGTCGTTACTTTCTACCAGATGTTGGTAAATCTACTTGAATTCGCCTTTAAAGCCACTTGCATACGACATGAGATTCATATGTTTCTTATCAAAATGCTCATCGCTACTTTCCAAAACTTTCCAGCAACTTCAGCAGCTGTGAACTCTTTGCACACCATTTCACATGTGCCTTCGATGACGAGTGAATAAAGACTGAAGGGTTTCAAGCCCAAATCATGAACTTGTCCACCTCCATTTTATCCATCTCCTCCCCCAGCATGAGAGGCTGGATTGGACTGAATGCACTAGAGAAGGCAAATCATCAGATTCCTCTGCGCGGGGAAAGAGACCGAAGCTTAAACCCACATTAAAAAATGTTCTTCTGCAGGTTGCGTGCAATTACACATTACCACCAGATTAAATCTTACATAATGGAGCTTTAACAGTGTTTAAATACTATATCATGATCTTCTATTTCAAAAATGTGATACTGCAAATACTGCAACAATACAAAAACCTGATCATTTTGGTCACTGATATGATGAGAGTGTTTATCCAGAGCCACGTGTGCGTGTTTGTTTGGAGAGGACGTGTTCTCACCAAACACTCCAGCAGCCTGGCAGGACGAGAGATAATGATGAAGAGCTTCTTCACCAGCTCTGTCACAAAGGTCAGCTCTGAACTCTCAGAACGCTCGTGTGCCTGAGAGAGAGGAAGAGAGAGGAACAGAGAGACAGAAAGAGAAAAACAGATAGAGAAAGAGAAAGAGAGAGACAGGAACAGAGACAGAAAGAGAGATACAGACAGACAGAGAGAGAGAGAGAGAGAGAGAGAGAGAGAGAGAGAGAGAGAGAGAGAGGTTATTTTATTATTATTTGATGTTGTTATTATTTCCCCTCGACATTTTTTACACCTCGACTCCAAATTGCTATTCTTATTGTTCTTTTATATTTTTTCATTATGTTCTTCTTTTGATCCGTTTTTAATTTATTTTTATTTTTTAATCAGATGAAATTGAGGGTTTTCATACTTTTTAATGTTGTAAATGTGCCAATAAAGCTTTGAATTAAAGATTGAGGGTCAGACAGATGGAGATAGAGAGAGGGAGAGAGAGAAAGAAAAAGATGGGTAGTGGGGTAGATAGATAGATAGATAGATAGATAGATAGATAGATAGATAGAAACAGATAAGAGAAAGCAAGAGAGATAGAAACAGATAAAGAGAGAGACAGATAGAGACAGGGACAGACAGACAGACAGAGAAACAGACAGGTAGAGAAAGAGAGGGAGAGGAGGGGAAGAGAGAGAAACAGACAGATAGAGAGACAGATAGAGAGAGACAGACAGAGAGAGAGGGAGGAGAGTGGAGGGGAAAGAGAGAGAGAAAGAGAGAGACAAAGAAAGAGTCAGATAAGAGAAAGCAAGAGAGAGAGAGACAGATAGAGAGAGGGGGGAGTGGAGGGGAAAGAGAGAGAAAGAGAAAGAGAAAGAGAAAGAGAGATAGAAAAAGAAAGAGTCGGATAAGAGAAAGCAAGAGAGAGAGACAGATAGAGAGAGAGTGACAAATAGAGAAAGAGGGAGGGACAGAGAGAGATAGAGAGAGACAAATACAGAAAGAGAGAGAGTGAGAGTGACAAATATAAAAAGAGAGAGACTTAGAGAGTTAGAGACAAAGAGAGAGAGAAAGAGATAGAGAAAGAGAGACAGACAGAGAAAGAGGGAGAGAGAGATAGAGTGAGACAGATAGAGAAAGAGGGAGGGAGAGAGAGAGATAGAGAGAGACAAATACAGAAAGAGAGAGAGCAAGAGTGACAAATAGAAAAAGAGAGACTTAGAGAGTTAGAGACAAACAGAAAAAGAGAAAGAGAGAGAAAGACAGACAGAGAAAGAAGGAGAGAGAGAGACAAATACAGTAAGAGAGAGTGACAAATACAAAAAGAGAGAGATATAGAGTCAGAGACAGAGAGAGAGAGAGAGAGAGAGGATAAGAGGATGAGAGAGAGAGGATAAAGCTATGATACGGCGCTTGTCTTATAGGTCTTAAATTAGGCAGATTCTCTGAGTACTTTGTATCTACGACTCTTTGAACATGGTGCAAGTCACTCTGGAAAAGATCGTCAACTAAACGAACAAATGTAAAAATACATGTTACTAATAACACACTGGAGTCAGACCTTACAAACCGAACCCATTCGCTCACACTCACGTCATGCAGTAGTTTCTCCAGGTTCTCCTGCAGCTCGTAGAAGTAGACGGTGGTGATGAGGCCCTCGTGTGATTTGGTCAGGCAGTCTCGGGACAGCTCAATGATCTGATGGTGGATGAAGCTCAAGACCCCATCGGCCAGCGGCAGCACGTTCTCCGGAGAGTACAACTGGGCAAACTCCGCCAAACGCTCCTCCATCTGAGCCGTGGCCTACACACAACGTACAAACAAGCACATCACCTCTGTCAGAACAAAACCTGTATCTCTATGTTTGTCGACTTTCAGTTCTTCCCAGGATTTAAAAGCATCAACTGCTCTTTACTAAGCTGCGTTTAACATATTGGAAAAAAATAAAATGATATAATATAAATAACTATTGCACACTGTCAGAAACGAGTGTACTGTACAGATTTGTTCAAATAATGTAAGTGTATCCTCAAAGGTACGACAGTGGTCTTAAAGAGTACTGAGGGCACGCTACATTCACTTTATCAGGGGAGAGGGGTATATATTTACCTTTTCACAGCCTAACGTGCTAAAATAGAAAAACCCAAACTTTTGCATATAAAAATGGACAGAAGTATTTTGTATAGCTATAAATGGCAACAGCAGCCTGGATTTTGCCTGTTTGTCAGCGCATTTGTATTGATTTTTGCCGAACTGTCGCTTAAACAGCATCAAATGTATGTGCATATGTTCTTCTCTGACCTTTGGGAAGCGCTCCTTATACACATGGTTCATCATGACGATTTCATTGTCATAGCAGGAGGGTGAGCGACCAGGACTAGAGAGAGAGAGAGAGAGAGAGAGAGAGAGAGAGAGAGAGAGAGAGACAGACAAAGAGAGAAGAAAAGATGATTACTAAGTTCTGAAGCTGAAAGGCTGCATTCTGCTGGAGTTCAGACTGTTTGATGAGCACTGAATGATAATAGGGCAATCAGGATTGTGTGGGTCGGGGGTGGGGTCGTAGGTGGGGTTTCATACATTTTACCTCATCATCATGGCACTCCCTGCCAATAGACTGGAGAAGCTTCCAGAAAAACACTGCATATAGATACTTATATATATATATACATATGTATATATATATATACATATGTATATTCCTATTATGTAATCACATATACATAAGTATACTGAGAATGGTCCACCAACCAAAAAACAGCGTCCTGTGACCACAGATGAAGGACTAGTGGATGACTAACCCAAGCTATACAATCTCTGACTTTACATCTACAGGGTGGACCAACAAGGTAGGAGTGTCTAATAGAGTGGACAGTGAGTGGACACAGTATTTAAAAACTCCAGCAGCACTGCTGTGTATGACCAACACGTACCAGTACAACACACACTAACACACCACCACCATGTCAGTGTTACTGCAGTGCTGAAAATGATCCCCCACCCAAATAATACCTGCTCTGTGTTGGTCTAACAAAGTATGCAGGGAAACAGATGGACTATATTCTGTAATTGTAGAACTACAAAGTGAACCTGTAAGGTAAGTGGAGCTGATAAAATGGAAAATGAGTGTAAATAAAAGAAGGAGTACTTAATAAAGTGGTTGGTTGGTGTATGTAATGAATATGTATTATATGCACATACATATACATATACATATAGGACATATTATTACACATATATATGTACACATATATATGTACATATATATAGTACATATACATGTACACACACACATATTACCTGAGGCTGCGTGAGCGTGGCCGTATGTGTGGTGAGCGCCGGCCATCATCGTCGGTGATGCTCTCGGTGCTGCCAAAGTGTTTGGACAGGAAGTGCAACTCGTCCATGGTGGGCTGGAAGGGCAGCTGGTGCAGACGCTCCTGAGAGGAGCTTGATGACTGTGAGAATCCCAGCGTACCAGGAGAGAGAGAGAGAGAGAGAGAGAGAGAGAGAGAGAGAAGAGATCAGATCAGAATTCATCTGATTCAGCTGAGTCAGGGACCCAACCAATCCACAATATTTGTCCTGTTCCAGCGCACCTGAGCCAGGTAACCACAGAACAAAACCGTGGACTGAATGGACGTCCTTAAAGATTCTGTTTGAGAACAGTAGCGCAGATTTGGTAGAGAACACAAACACATTACTTCATTAACTGAATTAAAGCTGAGCAATCATTTAGCTAAAGTGACAGCACAGACCTTTTAACAGCAACACTGCTGTATGCCATAACTTTTTACTGTCACTGTACACTGACAAGTTTTACCATCGATGCTGATTATGCATAATAAGTTTAGATTAGAAGTCATAACACTCATTACATAAGGGTCACTTAATACACTTTGAAGTCACTAAAACTCTTATTTATCTTATTTATCCCTCCACAGATTCCATGTCAACAAACTACAGTTTTAGCAATACTAAATCTACTTTGTACATGACACAAGCAATTTGTCCAAAAAATGTTTACAAACAGATTATTTCACTCATAATTCACATCAGAATTCCAGCGGCACCACATTCATCTGTTCAAACAATAATATGCATGACTAAACACCATGGGACCATGCAGCCATCACACCATTCAGGAAGGAGACACGTTCTGTCTCCTAGAGAAATGCTCCAAAATTGCTTGGAATAAAATCTTACACTGTGAAAAATGAGAGGTCAGCTCAACTCAAAATGATGTAAAATGTAGTATGCAAAAATGTAGTATCTGATTACGCGACTTTTTTTGAGTTCACTCAACTTGAGGACACCCGAGTTCACACAACTCAAACTTCTTAGTTGAGTGAAAAATTCTCTACTGTTTCTAAGTCTTCATTTCAGGTAGATAAACAAAACCGTATCTGCATATTTTTACTCAGTTTCCCCACTAGCTGGTGCTCCTTCTACCATACACTTCTATCTGGCATATTCTCTTCTTCGGCTTCCGGATATGGACAGCTGTGGTATCACTGGGATTCAAACTCACAACCTCCTGATGTTGGGCTAAATTATTAGACAGCTGCACCACATGAAACAACGCCAGGCTTTAAACATAAAACAACAAATATTTTCTCCAGTGAATTAAACATTTGTAGACATAAAATCTGAGGTTCTTCATGTGTTCCTGAGTGGTGCAGTGGACTAAGCCATCACTCCAACTGGAGGTTGTGAGTTTGAGTCCCAGCGATGCCACAGCTGTCCATAAGTGTGATGGAAACAGTCATGGTGGGGAGTTGAGTATATAAAAAAACAAGTTCACTTTATTTACCTATCTGAGGTGCAGAGCTAAAAAATAAGAGAACTTTCGACTCAACTAAGAAGTTTGAGTTGTGTGAACTCAAGTTGAGTCAACTCAAGAAAAGCCATATAATCAGTTACTATATCATTCTGAGTTGAGCTGACCTCTCATTTTTAACAGTGCACATTAACAGTGAAAATGTTTTTGGCTTCTGTAAAGTTACTATTTTGAAGATACTTGTTTTCTTTGGACAGTGATGATATGCGGTGGAACATCTGTAGTACTGTTTAGGCTCTTACTCTCTGGTGCTGGAGAAAAGCAGAACACCTGAAAATGGCTGTCAGTGCTGGTTAAGACTGCAGGCCCAGTTTGCTCCTGTTTGCTATGATGCTAAACAGCTTTGACTTTCTTCAGCACACAGACCTCAGTCCAGATTCAATAATTCAATGTCTGAACATGTTCCCACAGGGGGGACAGCGTCCTCCACCAATAACACAGCACAGTGTCACTCTCTCTCTCTCTCTCTGTTCTAGCAGAGCCTCTGGCTAAAGCTAAAGCGCTAACAACTTAAACCTGTCATCTGTCTCAATCAGTGCCGTCGGTCTGCTCAGGCCAGATCAATAATCGCTTAACGTCACTGAGACGGAGAATCTGTATGTGGACGATGAGCTTTGTCTGTGCCTCCCCTTCTTTTTTCTCTCTAATATTCTCTCCATCCTGCCCCTCAGTGGCTGTCCTGTTATCCGTGCCCCACTCCTCTCCTCCCTTCATCCTTTCTTTCTGACATTCGCCTCACCGAGCCAGTCGTGCTGTAGCTAATCGTCCAGTTAATGGAGCGTGTAAGAGGAGGTTAGAGAGAGAGAGAGAGAGAGAGAGAGAGAGAGAGAAAGAGAAAGAGGGGAGAAAGGGACAGAGAATGAAAGAAGGAGAGAGAGATAAAAAGAGAATGAGAGAGAGAAGAGGGGACAGAGAATGAAAGAGAGGAGAGAGAGAGAAGGGTATAGAGGAAGACAGAAAGGAGGACAGAGAATGGGAAAGAGAGAGAGAGAGAGAGAGAGAGAGAGAGAGAGAGTACAGAATGGGAAGTGAGAAAGAGGAAGAGAGAAGGAGAAGGAAAGGGAGAGCAGAAAGAAGGAGAATGAGTAGAGAAAGAAAGTGAAAAGAAGATAGTATCAGAGGGAGAGAGAGGAGAAAGAGAGTCAGAGAGACAGAAAAGGGATAGACAGAGAAGGAGAGAGAGACAGAGACAGAGGAGAAAGAGAGTCAGAGAGACAGAAAAGCCATAGATAGAGAGAAGGAGAGAGAGAGAGAGAGAGAGAGAGAGAGAGAAAGAGAAAGAGGGGAGAAAGGGACAGAGAATGAAAGAAGGAGAGAGAGATAAAAAGAGAATGAGAGAGAGAAGAGGGGACAGAGAATGAAAGAGAGGAGAGAGAGAGAAGGGTATAGAGGAAGACAGAAAGGAGGACAGAGAATGGGAAAGAGAGAGAGAGAGAGAGAGAGAGAGTACAGAATGGGAAGTGAGAAAGAGGAAGAGAGAAGGAGAAGGAAAGGGAGAGCAGAAAGAAGGAGAATGAGTAGAGAAAGAAAGTGAAAAGAAGATAGTATCAGAGGGAGAGAGAGGAGAAAGAGAGTCAGAGAGACAGAAAAGCCATAGATAGAGAGAAGGAGAGAGAGAGAGAGTAGAGAAGGAGACAGACAAAAAGAGAGAAGGGGAGAGAGAGTAGAGAATGAAATAAAGGGAAGAGGACAGAGAGAAAGAGAAAGGGACAGAGAGGAAAGAGAAAGAGAAGGAGAAAGGGATGGAGAAGAGAGAGATAGAGCAGAGAAGGAGTAGAGAAAGAAAGAAACAGAGTGCAGAAGAAAAGAGAGAGGGGGGAGAGGAGAGAGAGTAGGAATGAGAGAAAGAAAGAAGGAGAGACAGAAACAGAGAGAGAGAGAGAGAAAGATGGGGAAAAGTGGAGCGTGGAAGCAAGGGAGTGAGAGGAGAGAGAGAGGGAGAAAGAGAGAGAGGAAGAGAGGGAAAAAGAGAGGATGAGTTATTTAGAGTAAGAAAAAGAAATGTGAGCGAAAGAAAAAAGAAAATGTGCAGCACAACAAGAAAAAAGAGGAGAACAGAGGAAAGTTATGGAGCCCCGTTGGTGACATCCTGTATAAATAAAAATAATGTGTGGCCACGACTTAGTAAGGCATGCGAACAAGATAATTAAGTTGTGGGCATGACTTATTAAAGCACGGGAATGAGATCCTAATGCGTGCCCACGGCTTATTAAGGCATGGGAAGAGATCCTAATGCATGCCCACAGCTTAGTAGAGCATGAACTTGTTCCCACACCTTACTAAGTCGTGGCCACGCATTAGGATCTTGTTCCCACACGTTAGAAAGCCGTGGTCACGCATTATTTTTATTCATATGGGATGTCACCAGCAGGGCTCTGTAGAAAGTGGGTGTGAAAGAGAGACAAAGGAGAAAAATGAAAGAAAGAGACAAAGGGGGAGAAAGAATAGAGAGGGAAAGTGGTGGAGAGAAAGACAGAGAGAGAAAGACAGAGAGAGAAAGACAGAGAGAGTGATACAGAGAGAGACATGTCTAATTTGATGAAGTAGCTCTTCATTAGTATGTTTAGATATTTTCTTCATTCAAATCTCTTTAACCAGTGAAGAGTATTAACTGTGAAATTCAAACAGACTGCTCACCCCCCCTCCTTTCTCTCTCTCTCTCCCTCTCTCTCTCTCTCTCTCTCTCTCTGTCTCTACCTTTGAAATAAAAAGGAGTTGTTTTTTAATTCACTGGTGAAAGTCGACCCCAGACTGCCCAATCCCTCCTCATTTCTCTCTCTGTCCCTCTCTGTCTCTCTCCCCCTCACTCTCTCTCTACCTTTGAAATAAAACGAGTTGTTTTTTAATTCACTGGCGAAAGTCGACCCTCCTTTAGAGACAGGGAGAGTGTGTGTTTGTGATTTTCAATTAAAAAGAAAAGATAAGATCAGCTTCCCAACGCGAGTTTACTAACAGCGTATCAGAAATGAAATATGCTAATATATGCTAATGTACCCTTCTGAGATATCCATATTCATGCACCGAACGCACAGCTGTAGTAATCTCATTATCCTCAGTGAGAACACTCGCTAAATATAAATTATGCTCCTCGAGCCGCAAAAGTTTTCTCTCAGAGTTTTCTGAGCTTTGATCTTAGTGAAAATATGATCAAATTAGACGAAGCTGTTTTTAAAATGAATATATAATAAAAATGGAGCCAACTCTCAGAGCATGCCCACAGTGTTTTAAAACAAAATGCAAATGAATTCAAAACTTTTCATGAGTTAGACAATTAGAAGAGTTCAGCTCCAAAATACTGTTTATACATTTTTCAACACTTTAGATATAAAAAGGTTTGAAAAGAACAACAGCTGACATTTAATACGCTTTGTTAAAAACACATTTTTGTTTCTGTAATAAAAGGGGTATTAATTATAATATAGAAAGGATAATCTTTGAATGTGTAAAGCCCGTTCTTAACAACATATATCATGAAACGTCATGAATAATTAAGGTTTTATATAGCCTATATGGCCAAAAGTATGTGGACAACTGACTATCACACCTTTATCAGCTTGATAGACACCCCATTCCAACACTATGGGCACTAATAAGGAGTTCTGTAACAGCTTCCACTCTTCTGGGAAGGTTTTCCACAAGATGTTGGAGTGCATCTGTGGGAATTTGTGCTTATTCGGTCAAAAGAGCATTTGTGAAGTGAGACACTGATGTTGGATGAGAAGGCCTGCGTGCAAGGGACGTCCCAATTCATCCCAAAGGTGTTCAGTGAGGTTGAGGTCAGGACTCTGTGCGGGCCGCTGGAGTTCCTCCACACCAAACTCATCAAACCAGGAAAAGTGTAAAATGTCGTCGTATGCTGTAGCATTAACATTACAGCCCCAGCCCATTATCCCTCCTCTACCAAACTTTATTCCTGGCAGTACACACCGATCAGGCATAACATTATGACCACCTCCTTGTTTCTACACTCACTGTCCATTTTATCAGCTCCACTTACTATATAGGAGCACTTTGTAGTTCTACAGTTACAGACTGTAGTTCATCTGTTTCTCTGCTTACTTTGTTAGACCCCTTTTACCCTGTTCTTCAGTGGTCAGGACCCCCACGGACCCTCACAGAGCAGGTACTATTTGGGTGGTGGATCATTCTCAGCACTGCAGTAACACTGACATGGTGGTGGTGTGTTAGTGTGTGTTGTGCTGGTCTGAGTGGATCAGACACAGCAGTGCTGCTGGAGTTTTTAAACACCTCAGTGTCGCTGCTGGACTGAGAATAGTCCACTAACCAAAAATATCCAGCCAACAGCGTCCTGTGGGCAGCGTCCTGTGACCACTGATGAAGGACTAGAGGATGATTAGCTCATACTGTACAGCAAGAGATGAGCTATTGTCTCTGGCTTTACATCTACAGGGTGGACCAACAACGCATGTGCGTCTAGTAGAGTGGACAGTGAGTGGACACAGTGTTCAAAAACTCCAGCAGCACTGATTCACTCAGACCAGCGCAACACACACTAACACACCACCATCACGTCAGTGTCACTGCAGTGCTGAGAATGATCCACCACCCAAATAGTACCTGCTCTGTGAGGGTCCATGGGGGTCCTGACCACTGAAGAACAGGGTAAAAGGGGGCTAACAAAGCATGCAGAGAAACAGATGGACTACAGTCTGTAATTGTAGAACTACAAAGTGCACCTATATAGTAAGTGGAGCTGATAAAATGGACAATGAGCGCAGAAACAAGGAGGTGGTCACAATGTTATGCCTGATCATTTCATGAAGTTCCCATGTTGCTTCCAGAGGCAGTTTAGATCTCTGTAGTGACGGATGCAAGAGAAGATCAATTGTATGCACTGTGCACGCCAGCACTCAGTGTCCCCACTCTGTGACTCTGCATGGTCCAGCACTTGAGCTGTTGTTGCTTCTAGACACTTCTAATTCACTATAATAACACTTACAGTTGGCTTGGGCAGATCAAGCAGGGCAGCAATTTTACAAACTGACTCGTAGCAAATGGGGCATGACAGCGCCTCTTTTAAGGTCACTGAGCTCTTCAGTACGACCCATTCTACTGTCAGTGTTTGTCTAAGAAGATTGCATGGCCGTCTGCTTGATTTTATACACCTGTAAGAAATGAGTGTGGCTGAAACACTTGAACTCAATAATTAGGAGGTGTTCCTATACTTCTGGCCATATCACATATGTATAATTTATATATACAGTATATTGACTTTGCTGACCGCTCAACAACTGCATCAACAAATGATAAAACAAAGATTAATGTGTAGAATGTCTGAAAGTGAGACCATGAATGAGTTATACATAAAAGTGCATACACTGCAATAGCTAATGCACTGTTTGATTCAAATGTGCACAAAATTATGACATGAACAAAATATATCACGCCAAGACAACTGTCTTTCAGTTTACTTGCTCTTGATGATAATTGTGTTGATGTAATATATTTTATTTATTACATTCACATTTGACTCAAACAAATAACACTATAAACATAAATTAATCAAATCCTCACTGTTTGCATGCATGAATTAATCAACTTCTCATCAACTGTACTAAACGAATCAGTTAAAAAGAGAGTACCGTGGAGCTGGGGGTGTTGGTGCCATATCCTGAAGAGGGCAGGGAGGCCAGAGACCAGCGGCGTCCATCAGCCCTGAAGAAAGAGTGGATGACAGTGTTAGATCACTTTATACATCGTTTTCGCTTACACTTCCATCTACGGTGCTTAAACTAAACCCTAGCTCTAAACTTAACCCCAGTCTATTCAAGCTAAGCTAACTTAAAGGTAAGTATATACACCGATCAGGCATAACATTATGACCACCTCCTTGTTTCTACGCTCATTGTCCATTTTATCAGCTCCACTTACTATATAGGTGCACTTTGTAGTTCTACAGTTACAGACTGTAGTCCATCTGTTTCTCTGATACCTTTTACCCTGTTCTTCAGTGGTCAGGACCCCCATGGACCCTCACAGAGCAGGTACTATTTGGGTGGTGGATCATTCTCAGCACTGCAGTGACACTGACGTGGTGGTGGTGTGTTAGTGTCTGTTGTGCTGGTACGAGTAGATCAGACACAGCAGTGCTGCTGGAGTTTATGAACACTGTGTCCACTCACTGTCCACTCTATTAGACACTCCTACCTTGTTGGTCCACCTTGTAGGTGTAAAGTCAGAGACGATAGCTCATCTGCTGCTGCACAGTTTGTGTTGGTCATCCTCTAGTCCTTCATCAGTGGTCACAGGACGCTGCCCACAGGACGCTGTTGGCTGGATATTTTTGGTTGGTGGACTATTCTCAGTCCAGCAGTGACACTGAGGTGTTTAAAAACTCCAGCAGCACTGCTGTGTCTGATCCACTCAGACCAGCGCAACACACACTAACCCACCACCACCACGTCAGTGTTACTGCAGTGCTGAGAATGATCCACCACCCAAATAGTACCTGCTCTGTGAGGGTCCATGGTGGTCCTGACCACTGAAGAACAGGGTAAAAGGGGGCTAACAAAGTATGCAGAGAAACAGATGGACTACAGTCTGTAACTGTAGAACTACAAAGTGCACCTATATAGTAAGTGGAGCTGATAAAATGGACAATGAGCGCAGAAACAAGGAGGTGGTCATAATGTTACACCTGATCGGTGTACAAAAACAGTGCTGGAACAAATTGGAGGACTTTAGATATAATCAGAGGCGTAGCCAAGGGTGGCCAGTGCCATCCTGGAATGAAGCATGGCCACCCTTCTGGCCACCCCGGTTATGGAAAGTGAGACAGTTAGCCATCATCAATAAAGCATCAATGACAATCTGTCAATGGGGTAGTTACCAATCAGTTATGAGAGTCTGATGATGCTGCATTTAATAATTAGCATATTTTGCCAAGATAGGCTAATGTGCTGGTAGTGCTGCTCTGTGAGCTATATTATTAAGTAGGCTCTGCGGTGGTAATACAAGTTTATCAAAATTAGTCAGCTATAATTATTTATCATTCATTTTTACAGTTGAATACATGTGTGTTGCAGGTTACCATATATAGTTCTGTCTGGCTGTTTAATCATTAGACTCATTACCTGTAGTGAATGCACCCTAAATGAATAACTGCGGCCTGGCTCTATGAACTGGGCTGTATTGATATAATATTTTATTCATGTGGAAATGACACACAGATTTAGTTATGTACAGAGAAAAAACAATGCATCATTTTTTGTCATTTTACTACAGCAGCACAGTAGTAGTGTTGCACCCCCATAAAATCTCAGGGTCTTACCTGGCAACCCCATTCTAAAAGTTCTAGTTACTTCCCTGGATATAATGGATTGACAGAATGGCAAAGCATGCTAGTATAGTTATGCTAGTCACTGTGATGTTGCATGATGTTTGAGTGGGTTCAGAGAGTCGGTTCTCTTCAGTTTCTCCATGTAAGCACAAGTTCTTCTTTATTAATGTGGCCAACATCTAGAAACATCTAGAAAAATAAAAAGCAGCTTTTAATGTGACTCCATTAGTCCCATGACTAACCTCCAGCATTCACAAATAAGGAGTAGCTTCAAAACAGCTTTGGTATGTACGTGTGTTGACTGCAAAGCCAAACAGGTCACACATGGCAGCATTTAGACCAAGCTTGATAAACACCCAACACGCTTGAGCCCAGTGCTTATATACCAGAAACCACAACCTCACGTTATGTCTGGATCAAACTATTATCTCTCCGTAAAACAGGATGTTTACAAAAGGTTTAAAGAATCTTTTAGAAGTCTGTTTCTAAAATCATCATTTTCTTTTAGCTATAATTACCAATAAGTACATTCATATATTCATAAAATATGATGATGATGATGATGATGATGATACATTCATATATTCATAAAGTAGTATATAACAATGTTTCTTTTTCCATGGGATTCAGGATTACCATGGATCCTTCCAGCCCCCTGAACAGGGCTGGCCATCTGAGGTCCTTGAGAGCTGGAGTCTGGCACAGATTTGTGATTTTCCTACTCAAACACACCTGATTGAACTCATCAGCTACCTGCCAGGTTAGGCTGGTGTGTTAAGAGCAGAAAAATCATCAAACTGTGCAGGACACCTGCACTACAGGACCACAGTTCACCACCCCTGCCCTAGAAGAACATGCACCTGTTGGCGCCTCCTAGTCTTATTTGAACTGAAGTAAGTCTGCACATTTACATTTTTCACACAACGTTGTATTTGCACTGTAATTCAAAGTCTTTGGGTGTGGTGTCGCACTCTGACATTAATGAGACAGGTCTGTCTTCACCACAGTCATATGCTATTTTATTTAAGTCAAAAGCTACGTTCACATTACAAGCCTCATTGCTCAAATCCGATTTTTCGCTCAAATCCGATTTTTCGCTCAAATCCGATCTCTTTGACATGATGGTTCACACTCGTTTAGGTAAGTGACTCAAATCCGTCATTAATGTGAACAAACCGGCGTCCTGAAATGACCCGCATGCGCACATCCTACTCAGTAACGTCACATGAATGAATCACGTTCATCATCGGCACAAACAGACTAACGAGCAGAACGAGCTTCGCTGTGAAGATAATTAACTCTGATCAGCTCTCAGCTTCATTATTAGAGTGGGAGCAATGCAAAATGGTGAGATGTGTTGCTTTTCCACCATTTACTGGCTTTAACTTCTGTTCAACGCTGCTGCCATGGTAACACTGAATGATGGCGCACGCGCAGTGGAAAAAGAGCACATGAATTCCAATCTGAGCGTTTACATTAAGGTCGCATGGCTATGAATCGGATACGTATCTGATCTAGGACCACATATGAAAGTGGCTCAGGTCGGATTTGAAAAGATCAGATTTGCGTCCACACAGCCCTGAAAACATCAGATCTGAGTCACATAAGGGCAAAAAATCGGATTTGTGTCACTTCAACCTGGTAATGTGAACATAGCCAAATAGTCCATTAAATAGACCAGTCCATTTGTTTATAAGAATCAATGCCATTGAATTGACTGATCTAATGCTAGGCTTAACTAGGCCTTCGTTTTATAGAAAAAACACATTTTTGTCAACTAAACAAACTGCATTTTGCAGCACTAGAGTCTGTAGCACAGCCTACTGCTGTCACGCTGCACATCTTTACTCCGGTATGGTCAGTTAAAAGCCGTTTGAGATGGACTGTCCCAAGTGAATTCATTAGCATAAATGATACGGACAATAACATACACTGTTGAAGTCAAACTCACTTCTTCTGGCTAATTCTTCAGTCTTCAGTGCTGAGAAACCACAGCTGAGGAAGCTACCAGCTAAAGCCAGCATTGGGCTCATGGCACACTTGGTGGTTGCTAAGCAACCGTGACAAGATAACAGCGTGTAGTGGGGATTGTAAACGAGTGGAAGGGCAGGAATCCCACCAGCAGTAAAAGTACCCATATGAAATCTTACTAGGGTTACATTTTATAGGGAACTACCTGCCTTCTTATATAGTCTCATACAACTCCCAATTCATCTCATTACTCTAGCTTTAGGTATTTGTTTACATCTCATTTTAAAAGGAGTGCAATTAAAATGAAAGCTACTTTATTTAGCATTAGAGTTCATACATTACCCACTTCAGTGTATGTGCCCACATAAATTGTATATGTGCTGTGATAAAATCATATAACGCACTCATCAGATGGGAAACATTACTGAGACCTGGAGCTCCCAGTTGAGCTTACTAGTATTTGTATTTGTTAGTATTAGTATTAGTATTTGTTCACCTGTTATGTTTAAAAGAGTATTTATGGAATTTAAACTAGTTTTCGCTGGTTAGTATCCCCTGCTGAAAAAGGACCATCAAATGCATTTAGAATCAGCAACTGGTCACCTGTCAAACCATCAGAATTTTAATTAACATGTTTTAAATAACATGATCTGATAAAATTAAAATCAAGTTTTTAATCTGTAAATTTACAGTAAATTACTTCTCTACTGAGCTGCATTACTTTTATAGCTACATTTCAAGTGTACAGCAGAATGCAGCCACATCACATTTGTCTTGTGGTGTAAGTGGCTGTGAAGTCACAGTACACAAGTAATTTACAGTAATTTTACAGTAAAAGGTTTTATAGTGTGTATTTATTTACCCGCATGAAAGTATCTGCACTGTGATAACATTATAAAGCACTCTTCAGACAGGAAAGCTCCTGGAGCTCCCAGTCGAGTTTACTATCCTACCTTTTAAGTACTTGTTCACCTGTTATTTTAAAACAGTATTTATGGAACTCAACTAGTTTTGCTAGTTGGTATCCTCTGCTGAAAAAGGACCATCTAATGCATTTAGAATCAACCACTGGTCACCTCTTAAACCATCAGAATCCTTTACATTATGATATTAACACATTAACAAAGCCAAAACATGTTACAAAACCATCAGGAGCCAAAAAAAAAATGGATTCTATGGGTTTTTCAGCAGGGTTAGCTTTCATTCATTTCTCTCCTAGAAAAAAATAGCATAGACTAGCCAGCCTGGCTACCAGCAATACCAGCATATGTTGTGTATTGGATGCTGGTATGCTAGTTAGCAGCAATGGAAGCTAATATGCTAATCACCAGGAAAACCAGCTCCAGACCAACATAAACCTGCAAAGACCAGTATAAACCAGCTTTAATCAGCATTGACCACCATT